CGTTTATTTGCTTGGTAAGAAGAAAGAGGTAATTTCTGTATCTGATAATCGATTTTATTGACCAATCAGATGTAACGAAACCATTTTACATAATACACACATAACCATTTCAAACATCCTGAGAGATTAGATCATTCTCATTCATATCAACGACCTTTAAAAAGTATTTTGGATTCAAGAATCCATCAACACCCGAGGTTAATATCACTCCATTGGCAGATCGATAGAATTCGATACCATCTTATAAAAATGAGTGTATTTTTTAGCGACAATGATAAGTGATCAGGTAAAGGAGATGAAATCGGTTGATTCATGCGAACCTTCCATTGCTCTTGCAACATTGATATAGATGAACAGATCGCAACTTTTTCTCATGCCTAAAGTATATGTTTGATACATGAATTTGAAAGTGGAAATGATATTAGATAACTGATTCTTCTCGTACCAATTGTACACGGCACCCGGTCATGATCTATAATTACCACTTTTGACGCCCGAATGCCCGAATCGTCCGGTTGCACAATGAATATGATTGCGATTCATCTTGGAAAGCCCTTGAGACTCTTCATTACGCGCGTAGCATGTTTGTCAGTGAATGGATGAAATGGATAATACATAATAAATAAATGTACAAGAATGAAATAAAAACCAGAATCGACCAACACATCCGATAAACAATTTACTTATATTCTTCCAATGGCGTAAATAGGTTCCATGTATCACCTCTGGAATTTGTGCTGGATCCGTGATTTTTTCAAGTTCCAACTCTTTCACCTTGATCATCAGTGCATCTTAATGAAACTTTAGGGGACATGATGTAAAAATTAAACATTTGGGTAAAGTACCTCCATAGAGTGTCCTTGGTTTGCTCGTATCAGCCATACAGGCATGCCATCTTCCTGTGTTTCTTGGATTAAAGTAAAGCGTTGCTTGTCATTGTTATCGACAATAGAACGAATATCTCCAAAAGTCTTTCCTGTGAGTTTTGGATGCCTCATCTAATATAGAAAGTCGAATTTGGGTCAAATTGCAATCTAAGAATTAGAATTAATGATTTTTTTGAAAATCACACCAACTCTTCAAGTTTGACATATCCATCTTCACGAATTTCAAGGCCATCTCTTTGAGCGCTGTGACGGAGAATGTAAGATAACACTTTTGATAGCCGAACATTGGGAGGATCGTTGCGGCGGTCTCTACTTCGTGATGACATTGTGCGAGTAAGACTTTGGAGAAAAATACTCGGTTTTTTATATTAATTTTTGGAATGTCACATGGGCTAATCGATCACGGGACCGATATAAATCACACTTCAACTACGGCTCAGGTATAGAATACAGTTTTACCGAATTACATATTTCTAATGACGGACCAGCAGAGATCAACAATTGGTGCTGGTTTGGTGGGAACTTGGCGGCCAATAGGTCCTCCACCATCCATGCCCCCACACGTTCAGCAATCCCATGGTTTTGGTCAAGGGTTTTACCAACCAACTTTCCCATACAGTCATGAATCTCACGACTTCAGGCGGGAGGCTTACAATTCAACCTTCTTTCAAAACAATGGTAGAACTCAAAGTCAACGACAAAATTATCATGGTGGTGGAAGGGGTCGTTATAATAATAATTCCTATCGAGGGCAGGGCAATAGAAATTGGAATGGTCGAGGACGTTGGGGAGGAGGATGGCAAAATACAACGTCATATGATGGCCCTCACGAGTCAAAGGATTATAGATCATTCTCGAAGGTATTATTACAATCTTGGTTTTGGTTTTGAGACGTTTATATCGAACTCACCATCCTTTTTATTCAAAGAAACTTCGAGTTGGTAACATAGAAAATGACGAGATACCAGGAATACACCAATATTTTAAGGAATCATTTTTGAAAGATCCTTGGGCTCATTTAACTTAATTTTCATATAAATCACGCATTTCGTAGGAGACCATGATCTCTTAATTCGATGTATCGAGTCTCTATTGATAATTATTTAATCATGTATTAATCATGTATTTATAATTAATACTTATAACAATACGCCTCGTTTTTATTATTATTGTAAATGGATTATAGAAATAATATTATTATTAAATAAAATCAAAATATTTTAAAAATAAATTAATAAAAATCAAAGTATAAATAAAATCTTAATTTTATAAACAAATATGCAGTATATATATTCCAGATAGTATATTATTTATAAAACAACAATTAAAATTGCAAACAAAATAATCAAGTTATAAAAAAAATATATATATATATACTTTTTATTTAAACCTGCAATTAGGCTAAAGTCATTTATTTATTAAATTATAGAACCATCACAAATATAAGAATATATACAAAGTATAAATCTTTTTAATCCAGCTTATCTGTCAACAGCTAAAGCCTCTAGATGTAATTTATAGGAATATATATTGTTTCTTTAATGGATAAAATTAAGATTCAAAACTTTCAATAGAATTAAAACCTGCAGATTATCTTTATAGTTACAACTATAACTTAAATTATATTAATCATTCTTGCAAAAACTATATAAAAAGAAATAAATAAAAAATTATAAAAAGAAAAAATAATACAAATGTATACAAAAAGAAAAAATACTAAAAAAATAAAAAAAGTTATTTTCTATTTTAATTATTATTGAAAAAATTATTTTAGTAAATTAAAATACAAGCTTCTTATAATTGTTACTATACTTATTTTTTATTACTTGTAATTAATCAATCTATTTAATTTTTATTGAAACAGTAATATTTAAAAATATTTAAAAGTACTTTTAGAAATATATTTTTTAAAACTTTATACTTAAAAACTTTTAATTAAAAAGAATATTGGTTTTCTATTATTGATTTTTTTTTCAAATTATATCTTTGCTTTATTTAATTAGTAAATAGTTTTAAGATTTTTTTTTTCAACTATTTTCAAAACAAATATTGTTACTTCAATTTATTGTCAGATTGAAATAAAACTTAAATCTTATATTTACTTTTTATCTTTAAAAAAAAATAAAATAAAATAAAAATAAAAATAAGTTATTTCTTTTTATTTGTAATTTTAATTTTATATAATAGTTTTATATTATTTCTTTAACTAAAAACTATTTAACTTTTTTAAAAATCAATTATATTATTAATTTAATATTGTATAATTGAAAATATATAGAAAAATATATCTTGTTTACTTTTTCTATAATTAATATTATCAATTAATTTATAATCTTAACTATTATCTTTCAAAAAATCTGATATAATCAAAAATTCAGAATCAAACTAAGATAGGCAAAATTCTCTAAAAAAAAGAAAAAATATAAGGGAGACAGGGGTATTATG